TTGTCAATAAATTCAGTAAACGTATAATTAAACTGTAAAACTTTGTCACCAATTAATGAATGTGGCATCAATTTTTTTAAGCCAACAGAAACCCACATCAAGAAACTCTGAAGCTCCTCCACCTTTCTGGAAATAGTGACAAACACCAATTTTGAAGTAGCAGACAAATCATTCTCATGTCATGAAGAAGGTCAGATTTATTCTTCATTCCTACTGAGCAACTTTCCATTCATGACCATCACACAAGTTAGAAACGAGACAGGCTAAAAACACTAATTGTTGAAATGGAGTTATTTCTACTTGAGGGCTCAATTCCTAACATAATTATCATTTTTGCACAAATTATCTCTGTAACTAATGGGAATGAGAAGTAATACACAAAATCTAAGCACCCTCTTGTATAACTACACTAATGGCTTACAGAAGGGAAGAAGAAAGAAAGAAAAGGTGCCAAAAGCGGGTGGTCAGGTGCAGGTACATAAAATGTTAGACAAGATGAGAAGAAATGGGTTACCCGAGCACCAACGCAACTGAAACTTCCACTTTACAAACTAGAAATGTTAGGGAGTCAAAGCTGCAGCTACCTGGAGATGTGAGCATCTCCCTTCTCTTCCACAAGGGTTATAAAATCAATCTTCCCTCCCTAAAAAAAGCTCAAGGCAGAATATTCCCATAATTCACTGGCATGCTCATTACACTTGGCACAAACTAATGAGACCATTACATATTCAGCATAAGTGATCAAAAGATTTTTTGAGCACAGGTTTACTTTTATACAAGAACTGTTCTTTAGCTGCCAAAACTTCACAGACAAGTTATTCTTTTGTGTTGAAAGAGGGGAGTAAGTGTTATACAGGACAATAATCACTAGCACCCAAAGGAGCAAAAAGAGGAGCATGTAGTGCTTCTGAAACAACACAAAACAGTCTGCAGCTTCTCAAACAGCAGGAGTGTGCATGGGGGGAGGGGGGTGCCCGCAGGTCAGCAGCTTCATAAACAGAAAAGCGGATCTTCATGGAGAGGACAGCCTGAAAGCTCCTACAACCAGTTTATATCTGTCAGAGCCCAAGTCCATGCCACAGAAAAACAGGCAACTGCATGGAGAGTATTTTTTCCATGTCTCTTTTGATCAGCCAAGTGGTTTTAATCAGGACACATTATAACAGCTGAACAATACAGTTAGAAAATTCACTTCTTAAATATTTAACATTCAAATTAGTTAAGTAGAATAGAGATGGCTGGACAGACAACGTATTGCAGCGACAGTAGGTGGAAGCTGGTGGACACCAGTGCAATCCATGGTGACCACATATGCAGCAAGTATTGGCTGCTCAAGGCACTATAATCTGAACTGCGGACCAGTGACGTATCAGGAACCGAGACACTATTTCAGGATTGAGTCACATCCCTTAGATTAATGACATCAAATCTGAACTACTGTCAGAGACACAAAAGTGTAACCATGAGTGAGGCATCTATGGAGTTCCAGAATTTAGCTTTGCTGTCTTAGTCAGGGGTTTTGTCTAATCTTGATCCCTGAGTGGTTGAGGGCACAAATTGAAATGGATGAGCGATAATACTACGGCACTGTGGTACAGCACGTCATTCACGTGAGAGGAGAAAAGGAAAATAGTAATAGGGGATACTGGAGTGAGAGGAATAAATACAGTTCTCTACAGCAAAGACAGACTCCTGAACACTATGTTACTGACCTGCTGCCAAGGTTCAAGACATCACTGGTGGGCTGTGGAGGAACTTGGAGTGGAAGGGGAAGGATCCAGTTCCGTGTGAGTGTTAACCACATGGGTTGGATTAGAAAAGAGGTTCTACAGAGGGATTATGAGCAACTTGGAGCTAAATTGAAAAGTAGAGCCACAGGGGTAATAATCTCCAGACTACTACCTGAGGCATTTGCAAATTGGCATAGGATAATCAGGAATAGAAAGGTATCAAAAAAAAAAATAGGTTCATGGAGCAATGGCATGGGCGGAAAAAGAGCTGTTTTGCTGAGGCGATTTTAATTTGAACCAATGTCCTGGCAAATTAGATAATTGGGGTGCAGATAGTACTTTAAAAACTTTAATTAGTGGGGGGGAAGAGGGTTTAATTCAAGGGAAGTTTAAAAAAAATCAACACGTAACTGGAGCACAGAGGTACAGGGTAGTAAAGAGGCAAGTGATAAATAAAGTGTGACAGGAAGGGATAGAAAACATATGTGGAAGAGTGCAGTAGTAATTAGAACTAGAAACAGTAACACTCGTCATCTAAACACATGTAGCATTTGGAATAAAATAGGTGGGACAGCGCAAATAAAAATTAATGAATATAACTTGATAGCAATTATAGAGATGTATTTGCAGAGCAACCAAGACTGGGAACTCAATATTCAAGGGTATGTGACATTCACGAAGAATACAAGAAGAGGAGGTGGAGTTGAATTCCCAGAAAGGGAGGCATCAGTGCAGCAATATAGATCATGTTATGGAAACAGTTTGGGTGAAAATAAGGATTAGTGAAGGAAAGAAGTCACAGGTGGGAGCTGCCTAGAGGCCCCTGAAAAGTTACCTCACCGTAGGACAAAGTACAAATCGGCACATAGTGGAGGCATGTAAGAATTGTCACAGATGATTTTAACCTGCACATTGACTGAACAAATCAGATGAACAAGGGTAACATGGAAGATGATTTTGTGCAGTGCATCAAGGGTAGTTTCTTAGAGCAACACATTGCACAAACCACCATGGGAAAGACTATAGTTATGTGCAACGAGATGGGATTAATAACAGATCGTGAAGGTAGGTGTTCTTCAGGGGAGCAATCACAACATGGTAGATGTCAAATTTAACTTGAATGACGGCAAACCAAGGCTCAATCTAGTATCCTCAACCTTAACAAGAAAATTACATAGGAATGAAGAAACAGTTGTCTAAAGTGGGCTAGGAAAGTAAGCCCGATGATCTGTACTTGCAGAAACAATGGAGACATTGTTTGAAATATCCCAAAATTCACTGAATTCCAAGAGGGTTCGAGGGAATTGGAAAATCACTTACGTGACATGCTTATTCAAGAAGGGACAAAGACAGAAAGCAAAGACCTATGGACCAGTTCTAGGATCTATTATTGAAGAAAGAAGATCAGGACTGGGTCTGGGTGGGATGCTCTTCGGAGGGTCAGTGCAGACTCGATAGGCCAAATGGCCTCTTTCTGTACTGTAGGGATTCTATGTTTTAATTGGTACAGGGTCAACAAGATTGAAGTAGTAAATGCACAGCTCAAAGATTGGTGTTGGAGAAATGGGGTTAAATTCATTAACATTGGCATGTTTACCTATTCCATTGTCTACCCAGCTGTTTGTTTGTTTGTCTCTCTGGGTTCAATCACCACCTATCTTTTTAAACCCTATCCTCCCCTTCTCACATCACCCAAACTTCAACAACCTTTCCCTAGCCACTAGACTCAAAATGTTAAGTCTGCTTTCTCACCATAGATGCTGCCATGCCTGCTGAGTTTTTCCAGCAATTTCTGTTTCTATTTCTGAGGGCATGTTCAGCATGGTAATGTGTAACTGGTAGTGAACTTTACAGCATCTTCACAGTGCTGTAAATATTAATGGTGCAGCCACAATTATTTACAATATATATTAATGACTTTGATGAGGAAAGTGAATGTACTATAGCCACGTTTGTGGATGACGCAAAAGTAAGTGCAAAAGGTAATGGTGAGGATGACAGAGAATCTGCAGAGGGATATAGACAGTTTAATTGAGTGGGCAAAAACGTAGCAGATGGAATATAATGTGCTGAAACGTAAGATTATGCACATTTGCAGGAAGAGGTGAATGTTACTTAAATGGAAGGAAAGACTGCAGAAAGCTACAGATCAGAGGGATTTGAGAGTCCTCCTCCATGACTCACAAAAAGTTAGCTTCCAAATGAGTAACAGGGAAGGCAAATGGAATGTTGCCTTTATTTCAAAGGGAATAGAATATATAAGTAGGAAAGTTTTACTAAAACTGCGCAAGGCACTAGTTGGACCACAGCTGGAACATTGAACAGTTTTAGGCCCTTGATCTAAGGAAAGAAATTCTGGCATTGGAGGCAGTCCAGAGAAGGTTCACTAGGCTGATACCAGATACAGAGGGAGTATTATGAGGACAGGGTGAGTAAACTGGGCTTACAACCAACAGCATACAGAAGAATGAGATGCAACCTCACTGAAACATGCAAGATCCTGAGAGGACCTGTCAGGGTAGATATAAAAAAGGTTATTTCCCCTTGTGGAAGAGTCTAGGACTAGAAGGTGTAATCTCAGAATGATGGGGTGCACATTTAAAATTAAAAGATGAAGAGGGATGTTTTTTCTCAGGGTTGTGAATCTGTGGAATTCTTTCCCACAGAGGGCTGTTGAGGCTGGGTCATTAAATACATTCAAGGCTGAGACAAACTGATTTTTAATCAATCAATCAGTAAGAGAATCAAAAGATTACGAAGAAAAGGCAGGGAAGTGGAGTTGAAGATTATCAGACATAGTCTGATCACATGGAATGGCAGAGCAGACTTAATGGATTGAATGGCCTATATCTGCTATGTCTTATGTTCTTACATAGACATCTGTATTAAATATCAGCATTAAACAAGTCATCTTGAATGAGCTCCCAAGGAAGACATCAATTAAGTGTATTATATCCATTCACATCACCAATGTTTTTCTAGAAATGCGTCAATTTTTGCAATAACATGAAATTAAAGGCAATTTTGTTAAAGTTAGGGCAATACTTGTTACTATTATTTACAAGGACATGATTGTCAGAGGATGCTAAAGAATCTAACTTGATAAAGTGGATAATTATTCTCTTGAAACATTCATTCAGCTCCTGATAACAAAGGGAGGGACAGGATTAGATTTCTGCATACCTTCAGTTTATAAATGTCAATCATGTGCAGTGACTTCTTACATTATAATGCAAATGATTTTGGATGCAGATTTGTGAATTCACACACCTTATATATACACTTGTACAAATCACTGAGAACTTCGTCATCTTCACTCTCCTTCTTTTCCTGAGCAAACAATCGCCGCCTGCCTGTTTTCAATTCAGTGTCTATTTCTTTAAGCTTATTCCGGAAGCCATTTTTATGCACCACACCATTTACCAGCCCATTTTTTGGCTCAAACCTGGGCAGTGACTGAGACTTGTATGTGCTGTCTGAATGTGCTTCCAAGGGCCCTTTCCTCTTCTCCAGGTTCTCTTTTTCCATTAATACCTCTTTCTCCAGCTTCTTGTGCTCTTCCTGGGAAAGGGAGTCATAGGAAAGTAGGAACTGGCAGTAGGCCTCTTGCAACTTGGCCAGCCTGTCCTGTGCAGTTTTAGGAATTCGCAGCATGTCTGCTAATTTATTCCACTTCTTGAGGTCAGTCACTTGCTGCATGCCGCCCATGTCATTGATCAGCTGATAAAATCGGGCCAAGTCCAGCTCACATCCTCCTACGACAGAGAACCATATCAACATGTGAATGCTCAACAGTGCAACTATATTTGAAGTCACATTTGCAAAAAGGTCTGTGAAAGTTATTTAACTTGATCAGTTAAATATTGTATATTATCATCATCAAATCAATGCTACTCTGGTAATTTTGCCTTTAATTATGGTCTGTTTTACCAGCAACAATTATGTCTAATCACAATTAAAGGTTGATTGTAAAATAAACAACTTATTAGATTTCTTTTAGGGTGCATTATACTCCCAGAACTACCATTTATAATGAAAACACAAGAAGAAGGTCATTTAATCAAGAATTGTATTTTTGTAGGAAATACCAGTGTACATTTGCACATAAGTTATGGTACAAACTACACCTTAGGAGAAGAGAAAATTCTGGAAATTGTTCCTTCCTCTCCTACCCACTTTTCCATTTAAAAATATATTCCTCAGTTTAAAGTCAGCCAGGAAATATACAGCAGTGTGCCATCATGTCAGATTCTCTGATTATATTGAGAACTGGCACAACAGTGCCAGGTAGTGTTTAACCCTGGTGCACTTTGGAAGAAGAAACAAGATGAGAAAGTATTTAATGAATGGCTGGATACTAGGTAGCTTAGAGGAACAGAGGGATCTTGGGTAATTATTCATAGATCCCTGAAGTTAGCACAGCATGTGAAAAGGATACTTAAGAAGGCATATGGGACACTTGCTTTCATCAGTTATGGCAGAGAATATAAGAGCAAGGAGGTAATATTCAAGTTGTACAGAGCATTGATCAAGCCACAGCTGACGTACTGTGTGCAGTTCTGGTCACCTCATCACAGGAAGGATGTGATAGCAGTCGAGGGGGTGTGGAGCAAGTTCACCAGGACATTGCCTGGGATGGAGAAACTGAGCTATAAAAGGAGAGACTAGATAGGTTTGAGAAACAAGGTGCAGGGCTGGATGAACACAGCAGGCCAAGCAGCATCATAGGAGCAGAGAGGCTGACGTTTCGGGCCTAGACCCTTCATCAGAAAAGGGGGAGGGGAAGGGGGTTCTGAAATAAATAGGGAGAGAGTGGGAGGGGGATAGAAGATGGATAGAGGAGAGGATAGGTGGAGAGGAAACAAACAGGTCGAAGAGGCAGGGATGGGGCCAGTAAAAGTGAGTGTAGGTGGGGAGTTAGGAAGGGGATAGGTCAGTCCAGGGAGGACGGACAGGTCAAGGGGGCGGGATGAGGTTGGTCGGTAGGAGATGGAGGTGCGGCTTGAGGTGGGAGGAGGGGATAGGTGGGAGGAAGAACAGGTTAGGGAGGCAGGGACGAGCTGGATTGGTTTTGGGATGCGGTAGGGGGAGGGGAGATTTTGAAACTTGTGAAATCCACATTGATACCATTGGGCTGCAGGGTTCCCAAACGGAATACGAGTTGCTGTTCCTGCAACCTTCGGGTGGCATCGTTGTGGCACTGCAGGAGGCCCAGGATGGACATGTCGTCTGAGGAATGGGAGGGGGAGTTGAAATGGTTCGCGACTGGGAGGTGCAGTTGTTTATTGCGAACCGAGCGTAGGTGTTCTGCAAAGCAGTCCCCGAGCCTCCGCTTGGTTTCCCCGATGTAGAGGAAGCCACACCGGGTACAGCGGATGCAGTATACCACATTGGCAGATGTGCAGGTGAACATCTGCTTGATGTGGAAAGTCTTCTTGGGGCCTGGGATGTGGGTGAGGGAGGAGGTATGGGGGCAGGTGTAGCACTTCCTGCGGTTGCAGGGAAAATTGCCGGGTGTGGTGGAGCTGGAGGGGAGTGTGGAGCGGACAAGGGAGTCACGGAGAGAGTGGTCCCTCCGGAAAGCAGATAAGGGTGGTCAGGGAAAGATGTCTTTGGTGGTGGGGTCGGATTGCAGATGGCGGAAGTGTCGGAGGATGATGCGTTGGATCCGGAGGTTGGTGGGGTGGTACGTGAGGACGAGGGGGATTCTTTTTTGGTTCTTATTGCGGGGACGGGGTGTGAGGGATGAGGTGCAGGAGATGTGGGAGACATGGTTGAGGGCGTTCTCGACCACTGAGGGGGGGAAGTTACGGTCCTTGAAAAACGAGGACAACTGAGATGTACGGGAGTGGAATGCCTCATCCTGGGAGCAGATGCGGCGGAGGCGAAGGAATTGGGAATAGGGGATAGCATTTTTGCAGGAAGGTGGGTGGGAGGAGGAGTATTCTAGGTAGCTGTGGGAGTCGGTGGGCTTGAAATGAATATCGGTTTCTAGGTGGTTGCCCGATATGGAGACAGAGAGGTCCAGGAAGGGGAGAGAGGTGTTACAGATGGTCCAGGTGAACTTAAGATTGGGGTGGAAGGTGTTAGTGAAGTGGATGAACTGTTCGAGCCCCTCGTGGGAGCACGAGGCGGCGCCGATACAGTCATCAATGTAACAGAGGAAGAGGTGGGGTTTAGGGCCGGTGTAGGTACGGAAGAGGGATTGTTCCACGTAACCTACAAAGAGGCAGGCGTAGCTTGGGCCCATGCGGGTACCCATGGCTACCCCCTTTGTCTGTAGGAAGTGGGAGGAATTGAAAGAGAAGTTGTTGAGTGTGAGGACGAGTTCGGCTAAGCGGATGAGGGTATCAGTGGAGGGGGACTGGTCGGGCCTGCGGGACAGGAAGAAGCGGAGGGCCTTAAGGCCATCTGCATGGGGAATGCAGGTGTAGAGGGACTGGACGTCCATGGTAAAGATGAGGTGTTGGGGACCGGGGAATTGGAAGTTCTGGAGGAGGTGGAGGGCGTGGGTCGTGTCACGGACATAGGTAGGGAGTTCCTGGACCAAGGGGGAGAAAATGGAGTCTAGATAGTTGGAGATCAGTTCGGCGGGGCAAGAGCAGGTGGAGACAATGGGTCGACCAGGGCATTCAGGTTTGTGGATTTTGGGAAGGAGATAGGAGCGGGCAGTGCGAGGTTGGGGAACGATGAGGTTGGAGGCTGTGGGTGGGAGGTCACCTGAGGTGATGAGGTTGTGGATGGTTTGGGAGATGATGGTTTGGTGCTCAGGGGTGGGGTCACGCTCGGAGACCGCTTTGCAGAACACCTACGCTCGGTTCGCAATAAACAACTGCACCTCCCAGTCGCAAACCATTTCAACTCCCCCTCCCATTCCTCAGACGACATGTCCATCCTGGGCCTCCTGCAGTGCCACAACGATGCCACCCGAAGGTTGCAGGAACAGCAACTCATATTCCGTTTGGGAACCCTGCAGCCCAATGGTATCAATGTGGATTTCACAAGTTTCAAAATCTCCCCTCCCCCTACCGCATCCCAAAACCAGTCCAGCTCGTCCCTGCCTCCCTACTCCCTGACCTGTTCTTCCTCCCACCTATCCCCTCCTCCCACCTCAAGCCGCACCTCCATCTCCTACCGACCAACCTCATCCCGCCCCCTTGACCTGTCCGTCCTCCCTGGACTGACCTATCCCCTTCCTACACTCACCTTTACTGGCCCCATCCCCGCCTCTTCGACCTGTTTGTTTCCTCTCCACCTATCCTCTCCTCTATCCATCTTCTTTCCGCCTTCCACTCTCTCCCTATTTATTTCAGAACCCCCTTCCCCTCCCCCTTTTCTGATGAAGGGTCTAGGCCCGAAACGTCAGCCTCTCTGCTCCTATGATGCTGCTTGGCCTGCTGTGTTCATCCAGCCCTGCACCTTGTTGTCTCGGATTCTCCAGCATCTGCAGTTCCTACTATCACTAGATAGGTTTGGATTGTTTTCTCTACAGCAAAGACTGGGGGCGTGGAACAGAACATGATTAAGGGGTATGGACAGGATGAATAAAGAGCAGCTGTTCCCCTTGGTTGAGGGGTCAATCGCAAGAGGGCAGTTTTAGGGTGAGGGGCAGGAGATTTAGAGGGGATTTGGGAATAATATTTTTACTCAGCAGGTGGTGAGAATCTGGAATGCACTGCCTGGGAAGGTAGTAGAGGCCAGAAACATTATAACCTTTAAAAAAAATATTTGGATGAACACTTCAAATACCATAACATTCAAGGATACTGGACAAGTGCAGGAAATTGGGATTAGTGCGCTTTTAGTGGTAGTTATGTCAGTGCAAACTCAATTGGTCAAAGGACCTTTTCTGTGCTGTACTAATCTATACAGCAAGAAAACAGACCCTTCGGTCCAACTAGTTTACGTTGACTAACTTTTCCAAACCAAACTAGTCCCACTTGCCTGCATTTGGCCTATGTCCCTCTGAACCTTTCCTATTCATGTACCTATCCAAATGTCTTTCAAATGTTGTAACTGTACCTGCATCTACCACTTCCTCTGGCAGTTCATTCCATACACTAACCACCTTATGTGTGAAAAAGTTGCGCATCAGGTCCCTTTTAAATCTTTCTCCTCGCACCTTAAAAAATCCTCCCTAGTTTTGAACTCCCCCACCCTAAGGAAGAGATGTTTGCTATTCACCTTATCTATGCCTTTTATGATTTTATAAACCTCTCCGTGGTCACTCCTCAACCTCCAAGCTCTGGTGAAAAAAGTTTGAGTCTATGCTTATTACTCAAATCCTCCAGTCCTGGTAACATCTTGATAAATCTTTCCTGAACCCTCTCCAATTTAACAATATCCTTCCAATAGCAGGGCGACCAGAACTGTACACAGTACTCAAAGTAAAAAACTCACAAACTAAAGAATATTCATGGCCTCACACTGGTCTAAGGATAGATCAACAGCTGGTGGTCAAGGGAATCTGTACCACTGGATGCATATGCATTGCAAATTTATTAGCAGTATGAAGTGATTTTTATTTCATTCGGACATTAAGCACAAGTGCAAATCAAGTGTTACAGTCTGTATCGACTTTAAAGCAGATTGAGACCTCATGCTGTAATTTCAGACTGTCTTTCACACACAATTAAACAGGAATATTGTGTAGTGGTTCTACAGCTGTAATTTAGATGCATACATTGGCTGGAAAAAATTGGACAGAAAAGCTCTTCTAAAATATGTCTTTCCCTTTTAATGTTTGTAAAAGATT